ATGTGGGCAATTCCATGGGCTCTAACAAGGCCAAAACCTTGTAAGGATGAGATGGTACCAAAAGTAAATGAAGAGTCTCTATATAGATATCATGCAAGATTCTACAATGTTGCTCGCCTTCTAAAGGTATCGGATGAGAAAACGCTTAAAGATCTTTTACAGTCACTCTTTTACTACATTTGCAAGAAGATGTTTAATATTCAAAGTCATGAGAGTCTGGTAATCCTTTTTTTAGGTTTTTGTCAAACAACAATTTGACTGGCCCCCTACCCAACCTTACTGGCATGAACATCACCTATTTGTAAGTAGAAAGGCTTACTATCTGCTAATTATATCTTCAATCGAGTAAAGTAAAGCAGGAGAATTTTTTTGATATCGATTTTTGTGACATGATATGTGGGGACATGAGTAATAACAGTTTTGATGCATCCGAAATTTCTTCATGGTTAGCCACCATGTAGGGCTTAACTACATTATATGTCTCCATTCATACTCTTTTTATCTTGTAGAGTACTAGCATACTTTACATGTGGCAGAATAATGGAGGATACTCATCTTCAAGGTGAAATTCCTTTTGAATTGTTCAGCCTTTCTAATCTACAGACTGTGAGTGTCAGCTAAAATTTCAAGTAGTAACACATTCATTTCTATGGAAGATTTTGAATGAAATAGAGTTTAGTGAGAAATCTCCATATCTTTTGACATATTGTGATTGTGTTATGAAGAATAACAGGCTTAATGGCACCTTGGATCTTGGCTCCAACCATAGTAGTTAGCTGCAACTTGATTTGCATAACATTATTGTGCATGTTATTTATTCTTCTATGACATTTTTAACAAGGGAGAGTAGTTTTGTGTAAGATCCCATTACTGCTAATTAGTTATTTTGTATGTCTATAGCATTATCTTTCTTTGTTCATGATCTTCTTCTTTCGCTTTTCTCTCTTCTAGTGTAAGCATCAATTAGCTGCAAGGCTTAACGCGACATTAAGAGCATGCATTGAAGTTAAGGTATCTGATGAGCAACTAGCCTTATTGCTTTCAAAACTCTTTAACTTCTGTGGATGAAATCTCTATTTTCGAATTTAGACACGAGGTAGTGTTTGAAAATCACAATCAAAAGCATTGATTGATTCTACAAAATATATTAGCCTTTTTTTAGGAATTGCCTGTAGGATTTTGTATCTTATAGTTAGGCCCGACATGTTTAAGATTTATGTATGTTATGTGGAAGCTTTATAATGTATATGACTAGTTACACAAAAGGAGATGACTATTTCTTATTTTTGATGGAATGATTATATTTACTTGCTTTTGCAGCACCTATTGCCCCTAGTTCCTACTCATCACCAGTTCATTGTATGTGGGAGAAAGCGAGGACGACAGTGGATCTTGATCTTTAGTTATTTTGACTCGAAAACCTTCCAAGAAGTGTGCACCTACTGCTCCTAGTTCCTACTTATCACCAGTTCATTGTATGTGGGGGAAAGCTAGGACCACAATGGATCTTGATCTTTAGTTATTTTGACTCAAAGACCTTCCAAGCAGTGTTCCTTATGTTTTTCACCAATTCTACTTATAGAAAGCATCATTTCGGTGATCATGTGTTTATATTTATGGCCAAAAATTAAACACTGCATCATCTGACACATTTCTAGAAGGTTTAGTTCTATTATGTCATCATAACTTACTTGACTGTAGCTTTTGCACAATCTAGGCAGTCAAAACTTACCAAATCCAGAGTTGATTGTTGGAAGACATGTATATATTATCTATTGGATTGTATAATATTTTGGATGTTACTCTATATATATCTCTGAATGTTGTTATATGTGTATCAAAATTTATGTATAAAAATAAACTGCTCTAAATTCTAAAATAGGAGTGCCCTCACACAAAGCCCCTGCTCATTTAGCAAATAAATGAATTTTCCTTTGTGACTTCTAAAGTATTATGATGAATTTAACATAAAATTTGATAATATGATTTTAGTCATGCCATATTACACCACATGCCCAACACAATATACAAATTGGGCACAAGATGAGAAACAAAAAACCAGACGCACAAGATGAGAAACAAAATACTGGATGACATAATAGAACTAAACCTTCCAGAAATGTGTCGGATGATGCAGTGTTTAATTTTTGGTCATAAATATATACACATGATCACCAAAATGATGCTTTCTATAAGCAGAATTGGTGAAAAACATAAGGAACACTCCTTGGAAGGTCTTCGAGTCAAAATAACTAAAGATCAAGATCCACTGTGGTCCTAGCTTTCCCCCACATACAATGAACTGGTGATGAGTAGGAACTAGGAGCAGTACGTACACACTCCTTGGAAGGTTTTCGAGTCAAAATAACTAAAGATCAAGATCCACTGTAGGGGTGAGCGATTCCAGGTACCTTACATTTTTCGGGAGAACCAGAACCGCGCAGTGCAGGTTCCCAAAGAAAGGAACCGGAATCGGAACTGCATAGTGTAGGTTCTTAAACTCAAGGAACCGAAACCTAAAATGCAGGTTCGATTCTTTTCCCCAGTACCCTATAAAAAATCAATTATCCCCCTATTAGTTTAAAAAATGACAAAAAATACTTTAAAAGTTTACAAATACACCCCTAACAAATTTCGGTTACTCATTCATTTGTGTCTAATGTGACTCATAAATTCTCTAATCTCTAGGCAACACTTGAATTCAATCGATTAATCACAATTCACATAAAATTCCTCAATCAAAACCAAAACACAAGCAATTAATTAAATTAATTAAACAATCATACTATAAATCTATAACTTAATATTATAATTAATTAAATTTCTAATAATTTAATTAAGTACTATACTAATGTTTATAATAAAATATTATAATTAATTAACTAATCATACTATAAATCTATAATGTAATGTTATAATTAATTAAATTTTTAATCATTTAATTAAATAATGTAGTAAATTACTAATGTTTATAATATAATGTTATAAATTTATAATTAATTAAGTAATCATTTAACTATGTAATATTGTAATAAATTAAGTGATTATCATATAAAGTAATGTTATTATTAATTAAGTAATTATTTAATTATAATTTAATATTTTAATTAATTAAATTTCTAATCATTTAATTAAGTATTGTACTAATGTTTATAATATAATGTTATAATTAATTCAGTAATCATACTATAAATTTATAATGTAATGCTATAATTAATTAAATTTCTAATCATTTAATTAGGTATTGTACTAATATAGTAAATTACTAATGTTTATAATATAATGTCATAATTAATTAAATAATCATTTCATTATGTAATGTTATAATTAATTAAGTAATCATTTATTTATAATATAATGTTATTATTAATTAAGTATTGTACTAATATAGTAAATTACTAATGTTTATAATATAATGTCATAATTAGTTAAATAATTATTTAATGTGTAATGTTATAAGTAATTATGTGATCATAATATAATTTAATATTATAATGAATTAAATAATCATACTATAAATTTTTAAAGTAATATTATAATTAATTAAATTTTTAATCGTTTAATTAAGTATTGCACTAATGTTTATAATACAATGTTATAATTAATTAAGTAATCATTCAATTATAATGTAATGTTATAATTGATTAAGTAATCATTTAACTAGTAATGTATTAATGTTTATCAATTTATTTTATACAATTAATTAATTACTAATTTATTACATATATACTTAGAACTTGATAGTTGAAGTAAATAACTAAATATTATATTATTATTCAATCAAATATACTATTCTATTAAAAAATAATTCTTTTAAAAATATTAAAATACTTTTAATTGGTTTTAATTTCAATTATACACTTAATTAATCAAAACTTTAATATTAATATATTATAATATATTAAAGTTTTTTATATTTATTTAATTAGGTTATTGTAAAAATTTAACATTTTCCATTTTAATTTTTTATATGTAAAATTACAATGGACCCTCCATTCTTTACAAATATTTTATTTCAGCCCAAGTTCCAAAACAGGATACCCGCTGTAGGTTCCAAGCGGGTTCCAAGCCGAGTATCCGCTGCAAGTTCTTTTTTCTAGGTGTCGGTTCTAAAAAAAGGGAACCAGAACCTACCCGCACAGTGTTGGTTTCGGGTAGGTTTCGATTTTGGTTCCAGTTCTACTCGCAAGTTCTGATTCTACCTACTACCAGTACTCACCCCTAAGTGGATCTTGATCTTTAGTTATTTTGGCTCGAAAACCTTCCGAGGAGTGTGCACCTACTGCTCCTAGTTCCTACTCATCACCAGTTCATTTTATGTGGGGTAAAGCTAGGACCACATTGGATCTTGATCTTTAGTTATTTTGACTTGTAGACCTTCCAAGGAGTGTTCCTTATGTTTTTCACCAATTCTGCTTATAGAAAGCATCATTTCGGTGATCGTGTGTATATATTTATGACCAAAAATTAAACACTGCATCATCCGACACATTTCTGGAAGGTTTAGTTCTATTATGTCATCATAACTTACTTGACTATAGCTTTTGCACAATCTAGGTAGTCAGAACTTACCAAATCCAGAGTTGATTGTTGGAAGACATATATATATTATCTATTGGATTGTATAATATTTTGGATGTTACTGTATATATGTCTTTGAATGTTGTTATATGTGTATCAAAATTTATGTATAAAAAAAAATTGCTCTAAATTCTAAAATAAGAGTGCCCTCACACAAATCCCCCGCTCATCTAGCAAATAAATGAATTTTCCTTTTTGACTTCTAAAGTATTATGGTGAATTTAACATAAAATTTGATAATATGATTTTAGTCATGCCATATTACACCACATGTAGAACCTATCAATACTATTATTTTGTGATAATTTTATCACAAAATTTGCATAGAAACACAGGTCAACAAAAGGTATCATATCAAATTAGATTTCATTGGCACATAGGTTGATTGTACATAATATGAAGTTAATTCATATTCCTCCCTCCTCTTCATCTTTTATCTCGTCTATACAAGGTTCTCGATTGGCCATATATATAGACCAACAATATGGCTCCAGGGAAAACAACATAATCGAGTGCAAATAATTACATGTGTCCTGGTTTGGTTTACATCCTTGCTTGATCATTTATCGAACCATATCAATAGCCTTCACAAACGATGAATTAGCTGCATAACTTGAAATGAAGGTATTGTAGGTGATTACATTTGGAACAAGGCCAGAATCTCTCATTTTCAAAAATATCCTTAAAGCCTCTTTCATCCTACCATTTCTAAAATAGGCATAAATGACAGTATTATATGATATTATATCAGGTTTCAATCCTTTCTCCGAAATTTCCCTTAACATCTCTTAGGACTTCTCAAAATTTTCAGAACATATACATCAAGCTATTGTAGGTTGTCAAGCTAGGAGTGGACCCACTCTCATTCATGAAGTTCAAGATCTCATTTGTTTTGGTACCATCTACCTCCTGCCATAAATCGAAATCATGGCATTTAAAGTGGTTATGTCAAGGGAAAATCCTTTTTTCTCCAACTCAAAGAGGGCATGCTCTGTTTCTATAAGGAGGTCATGTTTACTGTTAACAAAAACAAGGGTCTTTAAGAGCACAACATGAGGTTCAATTAGACTAGAGAATATCTCTTCTGCAAGAGTAAGCATCTGTTCAATCTCTTTGCCATTGGCATAAGCATGAAGCAAAAAACAGTATGTCAGCTCATTGGGTTTACACCAACCATCCTTCGTTTTAGCAAGCATTTTCTTAGACTATTCCCACATCCCTCCCCGAGCCAATGCTGCCAAAACAATATTGTAGGTGGAAAGATCCAGTGTAACCCCAGCTTCCAGCATTCTCTTATAAATAGCCATGGCTTGATCAAAAGAACCACAACGACTGCATGCACCAATTAGGGTGTTGAAGGTGTCCCTCTCAGTAATGAACCCTACCCTCTTCATCTCCTCGAACACATATGACATTTTTGAGTTCATCCCCTTCTGCCCAAATACTGCCAGAAGTGTGTTCCATGTAACAATGTTGAGGTTAGAATTGCTTGTCTTGATCTCATCAAAAACCTTCATCATCTCAACAAACTTTCCCCTGTTTCCATGCATCTTAATCAAAGCATTAAAAGTAAAAATATCTGGCTTGCACCCTGCACTTCTCATCTCCTTGAAAACCTTCATTATGGACTCATCCTTCTCGACTTTTTCAAACCCAGATAAGAGGGTGGTGTAAGTAAAAACATTAGGCTTAATCCCTATTTCCACCATGTGGTTTTTAAGCTCCATTGCCTCTTCCATCAAACTAACTTTGGTATAAGCTAATATCAATGAAATGTGAGTCACAATACTGGGTGAACAACCATTAACCTCCATCTCCCTTAATACCTCCATGGCTTCTTTAGGTCACCTAGAACTCCCATAAACATCCAACAAGGCATTATAAGTAACCTTATCTGGACTAAAACCTACTAATTTCATTTCCTCAAAAACCCAAGCTGCTTTTTCATGCAAAGAACCCTGCCGACAACAACTTATAAGCGTATTATAAGTATCAGAATCTGGGGCAACTCCGGCATTCTTCATTCCTTCTACTAGAGTCATAATCTTATTCCAGGGCATACCCATTTCCCCATACACATTCAAATCACTTTGTAAGTTATCAAAGTAGGTTTACACCCCTCCTCCTCTATCTTTTTGAACATCATCACAGCCTCCCTATACATCCCATTGCTAGCATAAGCACTTATCAATGAAGTATAAGCATAAACATCAATATCAATCCCATCTTTATGCAAACTATTCTACAATGAAGCCACAGTCGAAACTTTACCTTTTTTCCCTAACATACTAATAATTACAGCTATAACACGACCATTCAAGACTAACTCACAATCTTTACGACTCCTAAACCACTCAAACACACTCAACGCCAAGTCACATTTCTTGTCAAACCCTAAACCCTTAACAATACCCAACATATCAAAACTCAAAGTATTAATCGTTACATCTGGGTTTTCCCGATAAGACTCAAATAACTGTAACAAAACACTATCAATTTTTTTCACATCAAATGATTCATCAATTAAAGGTTGGAAAGCCCGCTGACCTTTACTAAAGAAGCAGTGGCTTGACCAGGGTTTCCCATAGTTAACGTCACATGACTTCCCAATTCGGGTTCTGTTTTTGGGTATAGAAGATGTAGAGTTAAAGGGTAGTGAAGAAGTGTGCGAGGGGTTTTTTTGGTGAAGTTGTTTATTATTGTGGTGAAAAGGGCGTTGTGGATTGAGGATTGTATTGGTTTTGGTTAAGAAATAGAGGCTTTATGGTGTAATGCCCACATCAAAGTACATAGCTTTATTCATGCCCTAATACCCTTAGTTGAATTTTGTTAAAGCTATGTTAAACAAGTGTGAAAAATATTCTTTAAAATGTTATTAGGGGTAAAATGGTCATTTCACTCATATTTAGATGAAAGAGTGGGGAGAGAAAAGAAATAGAAAACATGGAGAAGATAATAAAAATGAGGGCATTCTTGTAATTGACTAAGGGACATAGATGAAATTTTTAGAAAGTGCAAGGGTAAAATGGGAAACTAATATACATATATTATTATGTAATAAGAATTCAAGAGAAACCTTAGCCACTGTACCCTTCCATTCATGCCATTTCTCTACCCAAATTCTCTCAAATTTCTTCACTAAATTTCCAAGGAAATTCATAAGATTTTGGCTAGATTTTGATATTCATAAGATTTTGGCTAGATTTTGATAGATTTTCAATCCTAAGCATCCAAAGGTAAGATTCTTGCACCAAGAAGTGCGATTAAATTTTAAAGTTTTGATTTGTTATGGTTGCATATGTTTAGGGTTTAAGAGGAAAGGGAATTCTACCAAAGAGAGATTATAGTGTTGGAGTTGCTTAAATTCAAGGTAAATAAATCCAACTTTAGCCTTGATTTAATCACAAGTTGTGTAGAGAAATTTATTTTATGTTGTATGTGTGTTTGGATGATGAGAAATTATGGATTGAAAATTGAGGTTGTTTGATATGTGAATTTCATGACCATGAGAAGTAATTTATTAGTATATGATGGGAAGTGAATTAGTAGTATGTGATGAAAAATTGATACATTAGTATGTGTAGAGAATTGATTTATTAGTATGAGATGAGAATTGATTTATTAATATGTGATGAGAATTGATGTATTTGTATGTGTTGAGCTAATGGAATTTTGGATGAATTTCAGCTAGGTTGATTGTTGGCTTTAGGGAGTTCTTACTCCTATTTTGGTGGCTTGAGAAAGATGTGGAAGTGTAGCCAACTTAGTATTTGCATGTGCATATGAATTGTTTGATGAAAATCCTAAGAGAAAACATGTTACCATGGTTGCCCTGTCAAATTCGTGGCATTCTGAGTGATTTTTAAGCATCTTACATATCGAACTAGGCTGAGACCTAAACATAAAAGTTGTAGTCCTTTCTCTAAGATTTAAAATGAGATCAAGATCATAGCAATCTGATATGTATAACTCGAGATATGCCTCCTTGAATATGACCTGTGCAGAATGACTACCTTAAAAGTGCTTCCAATTTATTAGTTTATTTTTAGTCTAATAATCTATGATTGATTTCAAGTATGGGAATATTGTTGGTAGAGAATACTAGTTCCCTAATGATATCTTTATATGCCATAATGCATTCTCACATTCTCACATTTGCATTTAGAAAGAATATCAAAGAATGAGCATATTTCCATGCATATACACATGTATGAGAACATTAAAGAATAAAGAGAAAGAAAGAAAAGAAATAAATTGTAGAATCATCTTCTAAAGAATATAATTAAAGAAGTTCAAATCTGAAATTTTATTTAAAGAAATATAAAAAGATAAGAGAAGAGAAGGTTGTTGCGATGAGGAACCCATGAGTGAAAGAGAAGAAGAATAGCCCACATGCACGTTGCCTTTAGTGAGTGGCCTCATAATAAGAAAGAAGAATTTGTACAATCCATTAGAAGTGCATGTGGATGAGGACTGTACCCAGCAGAGCATACCTACATGCACGCCGCCTTTAGTGAGCGGCCCTAGAATAAGAGAGAATAATTTGTACAGTTCGTTAGAAGTGCATGTAGATGAGGATTGTACCCACTCACACGGCCAGGGTTCCAAAGCCATGCCTCAATCGAGTGCGATTAGCAAACAAGAATAGAAAAGAAAAGAAAAAATAGAAAATAAAAGAAAGAAAAGAATAGAAAAGAAAAGAATAGAAAAGAAAAGAAAAGAATAGAAAAGAATGAAAGAAAGAATTGACAAGCAAGAGAAATAGAAAAGAAGAAAAGAAACAGAAAAAGAAAGAAAACAGAAAAGAAAATGCAATGCATAGAAAAAGTTTATGCATTTGTGCATATGCATCATGCCATTTCTGCTATCCTAATTTAGTTTCCCTATTTGTGCTTACATATCGGTAAGTGAGAAACTAGAATCTTATAAAGGGCAGAGAAGAATTGAGAAGTTTGGTGTAAGGAAATAAATTTCAGGATCTGAGTAAAAAAGAAAGAATAGAAGTATTGTGGGTTTACTTACTGAGCAATTAGTGCTCACCCCATTGATTTCACTATTTTTGCAGGTAGTAGATGAGATACAGTCAGATCGGATGTCAAGTAGCAGAGGAGAAAGGCAACACTGTCTGACTAGATTTTGCATTTATTTTTGTGACTATGGTACTTGATGTAGAGATTTGTATATAAAAGTAATGCTATTTTTAGGCCCACTATCTTATACTTATGTACATATATGTTTTCTATAACATATTTAGTGATTTCATAATATATTTTCCCAAAGTATACTAGCTAGAGAGAGTTATTACATATGGGTTGTGGGTTTGGGAGGAGAAGAGGCAGAGATAGATTTTGTGCCATTGAAGAGAGTGCGTGTAATGCCGACATCGAGGTACATAGCTTTACTTATGCCCTAATACCCTTAGTTGAATTTTGTTAAAGTTATCTTGAACAAATGTGAAGAAAATGCCTAAAATTTCATTAGGGATAAAATGGTCTTTTCACTCATAATTAGTTGAAAATGTGGAGAGTGAAAAGAGAGAATTTCATGGAGAATGCAATAAAAATGAAAGCATTATGGTAACTGACTAAGGGACATAGATAGAATTTTATAGAAAGTGCAAGGGTAAAATAGGAAATTATAAATAATATTTTGTTATATCAAGAGTTGAAGAATGAAACCCAAGCCATTTCTTCTCCTTTTTCCCGCCATCTTCATCCCTAAATTCTCTCAATTTCTTCAATTCTTTTTCAAGGGAAATTCATAGATTTTGGGTTATTTTTAGCGGAATTTCAATCGCAAGCATCCTTAGGTAAGATCCTTGCACTAAGATATGAGTTTTAATTTTTAAAGTGTTGAATTCTTATGATTTTTTTTCATAGGATTTAAGAGAAAGAGAGTTTGATAAAAAAAGACTAGTAAAGTGTTGGATTGCTGACATCTAAGGTAAGTAAATCCAACCCTAGTTATGATTGGAACCATATTGTATAGAGAATTTCTTTTATGCACATATGTGTTTTTATATGAAGAATTGTTGATGGAATGGATGTTGAATGATGGTTAGAATTTATCCATGAGAAGTAGTGTTTGTGTACATGATGTTTGATGAGAGTTTGGATGAATTACGGAAGAATTGGAGTAGAATTTATGGAGTGTAAATCCTGGACAGGTTTGGCGTTAATCTTGGAGAATTTTGTTCCAAATTTTGGTGGCTTAGAAGATAAGTAGAAGTGCAGCCAATTTGGAGCTTGTGTGTGCTCATAAATTGTTTGATGAAATGTCAAAGAAAAGTGCATGTATGAGTATGATTATTTGTTATCTTGAGATGAGTTTGTCGATGGTAGAGATGTTTACATTCCATATTTCATTGTTGCATCTAAACATGTGAATTTAGAAAGAATTACAAGCATGAGCCCATCTACATGCATACATACTCATAAGAGTATTAAAAAGCATTAAAGAACATTAAAGAGCAAATAGAAACAAATGAGAATATTAAAGAAGTTCAAATCTGAATTTTTATTTAAAGAATTGTAAAAAGATAAAAGAAGAGAAGGTTGTTGTGATGGGGAACCCGTGAGTGACATGGCCCCACATGCATGTCGCCTTTAGTGAGCAGCCTTAGAATTCAGAAAGAGGAATTGTACAGTCCGTTAGAAGTGCATGTGGATGAGGACTGTACCCATAATTAGAGAATACACTCACACGGCTAGGGTTCCAAATCCATGCCTCGACCGAGTCCGATCAGAAAGAAAGAAAGAATAGAAAGAAAGAAAAGAAAAGAAAGAATAGAAAGAAAGAAAGAATAGAAAGAAAAGAAAGAATAGAAAGAATAGAAAGAATAGAAAGAAAGAAAGAATAGAAAAGAAAAGAAAGAATAGAAAAGAAAGAAAGAATAGAAAGAAAGAAAGACTAGAAAAGAAAAGAAACAGAAAATAGAATAAGAAAAATAGAAAAGAAAATGCACTTTCTATGCATTTGTGCATTTGCATCATACTTATGCATGATACCATGCTTATTATCATGAGTAGTGAGAAATTAGAAATTGAGAAAGAACAGAGAAAAAATAGAGAAAGAATAGAGAAAGAATAGAGAAAGAACAAAGAAGAATATAGAAGTGTGATGTAAGGAAAGAAATTCAAAATTTAAGCAACGGAGAGAGAAGGGTAGCATAGCGGGTTTACTTACTGAGCAATTAGTGCTCATCCCATTGTTTTCAATGTTTTTGTAGGTAGTAGGTGAGATGCGGTCACTTGGAATATCAAGGAGCGAAAGGGTTTAACAACACTGTCGAGTTGTTGTTTTGTGACTATATTATATTATGTAAAGATTTGTATATAAAGAAAAATTAGATACGGGCCCATTATTTTATACTCATCTACATATATATTTTCTTATATATATCTAGTGAGTTTTACTATTATTTTATGAGTATACTAGCTACAGAGAGACAGTATTACATTTTTTGGTATCAGGGCAAAGGTTTTGGGATTTGACAGTGTGCCTCTCTCGCCGCATTGATGTTCCGTAGCCAACCGCTATAAGTTATTTCTTTCCTTACTTATAGTAGATGAGTTAATTGAGTTGACTAAAAGTGTGGGTGTTATGTAGATGAGACGTAGAACTCGAGCAAGCAGTAAAAAGGAAATGAATACGGGTGAACCTTCCAA